GCAGGCTTATCCTTCAATATCTCCCAAAACTGTGTTAGGGTACCGTCAGGGAAGCGCTCGAAGTCTATGCTTCGGTTCCAGCCTAAGCCAGTATTATCATCAAACGGCACACCGGTTATGTCGATGGCTAACACTCTCGGATCTATTTCTATGATCCGGCCTTGCCCGGGCGGTCGTGGGTTTTCCACGCGCCATCTCGCCCAATCGCCATCCGTCCACATCTCGCGCTCGTCGGTGTGGAAGTAGTCGTACGCCTCACGTCTTGTGAGGGGGCGATGTGGGTCATTCCGGTCCGGATATCGACCGTGCGGCTGTGGCTCTCGGAGCGGTGGCTCCGGCGGTGCTGGCGGGGTCCTTAAAGGTCCCCGCGGGCCAGGTGTGTCCCACTCCTCATCTGGCTCATCATACGGAGTTATTCTCCGGGCACCCTTTCCTGCAGCCTTGCCTCCTCCTTCTGTGGGAGGGTGATCTGCTACACCACGGCCTGGCGGCGGATGATCAGGGTGCACGGGCCCTGTCGGCGCCGGCTCGGGAACTGGCCTCGTAGTCTCAGGTGCTGCCTCAGGAGCTGTGTCCTGGCGTGCACGCCTAGTTCCCCAGCGGGAAATTCTCGCAGCTTGCGGCGGCTCGCTGCGGTCTCTCGGGTTACTAAGAACCCGGCGGTCACGATCGCGGGTGCGATCACGCACAGAGCCCCTGCGCTCACCCACGTAGGATCTATCCCTACGGTCTCGCGACCTATGTCTGTCGCGGCTTGATGATGAGCTTCGCCTTCGCCTCCTGGAGGAACGCTCATCCATGTGGCGAGCGAGGCGGTCCTCGGCTCGCTCTGCCCTTCGACGCGCTTGGTCGAGCTCATCCCAGGCCTCGTCACGCTGCCTGCGAACCTCACGTAGAGAGTTGCGGAGGTCGTCGGCCTGGGTCTCCAACATATGGTTGGCGTCCTGCAGATCTTTGATCTGCGACTCAAGTGCGCGCACCGTGGCAGACGTGGATGGTGCGGCCTTCACAGGAAGATCACTCGCCACTATGGGCGGTCTTGCTGGCTCGGCCTTTTTGGCTGGTGGTGCTTTGCTGCCACTCGCCTTGGCTTTAACCTCAGGAGGCGGGCCCATACCTGTGGTAAAAGTGACAGAGGGTACCGGCGCCCCTTTCGGCGCGTTCGCAGAACGGTTCATGGCTCCGGTTAAACTATCAGGATTGTATTTCGCCACATACTGTGTGTGGGTTTTGCCTGCCAGCCCCATGCGTGTTGCGGCCTGGGTGGCAGTCTCCCCTGGCCTTGGAGCCTGGTCTAGCGGTCCGACTCCCGTTATAGGGGTCTGCGCATTGCCGGCAGCAATCTGCTCCTCGTTGAAGAGCTCGGAGTAGGTCTTCACCCCTGTCGGGCGAGCTGTCATAGGCTCTACCACCAATGTGGCGTTTTCTCGGACGGCCCCGTCTCTAAAGACGGCCTGTGCAAACGCATCACATATGTGTTGGACCTGATTGACTATGTCAAGCGTCTTATGCTGACAATACATGCACTGGCCTTTGCACGATGTCCTGCCCATAAAGGGCCACGAATGCGCTGCACTCATATGAGTGAGGCTAATGGAAGTATCCTCGAGGCGACGGATCATGTCGAAAAGTAGGATACCGCCTCCAACAGATCTATGTCTGTTGACCTTGCACACTGTGTGTACAGCAACCTGCTGGATGCCAGCCTCAATTGCATCCTTAATGTTGTTAAGGACGTACCTGGCATTCTCAACAAAGTTCTCGTGGTTAGCGTACTCCAGTAATATATCTGGGTGGCTTCCTACATGATCGCGGTTTTTCCTGCGCTGCTCGTCCGCCATCTGCCTTTCAGATGGGCTCATGGTCTCCCAGGCATAGTCCTCGAGCCACGTCATATCGACGTAGATTAGCATAAAACTCGTCTTCGAGGTGCCTGTCGTCACATTATATGTGAGCATCTGTTCGTGATGTCTATATAGAGCATCACCTGTCCATTCGTCCGAGATCTTATAGATATACTCGTCTTTGGCAGTGCCCCAAGTAAAAACATCGACAATAAGCGCCGTCGAACCGACGTAAAAAGGGGCCAGCACCAGGTCCGGATTGTACACGGTACCTGGGCGAGGTGTATCCAACCTGCAGTTGGAGATACGGACGAGATCTCGACCATGTGGGTCGGTGGGCTTGTCATTATGGAACCTCGCGGTTGCAACATTCTGACGTAGCACCTGCTTCGGATGTGTTATGCTCCG